TTTGGGGACATCCAGGGCGGTTTTGTGTCCCTCAGCATTTTCCAAAACCTTTTTTGGGCTGAAACCTCAGGGTTTTAAGAACCTTTTTTGGGCTGAAACCTCAGGGTTTTCCATCAGCCTTTTCTGGGGGTTTTTGCCCCTCCCACCCTCGTTTTTTGGGGTGAAACCCCCCAATTTTGGGATTTATTCCTCTTAAATCTCTCCATTTTTATTTCCCAGCTTCTGTTTCTCGGAGATGGCCCCGGTGTGCGCCGTGGTCGGGGGGGTGCTGGGCCAGGAGGTGGTCAAGGTAAGATTTTGGGGGGTTTTGGGGGGATTTGGGGGGATTTTGGGGGGTTTTGGGGGTCCCCAAATCCCCCCTGGTGACCCCCCCGTGTCCCCTCCAGGCTCTGTCCCAGCGGGACCCCCCCCACAACAATTTCTTCTTCTTCGACGGCGTCAGGGGCCAGGGGATGGTGGAGTGCCTGGGACCCCCCCTCTGAGGGACCCCCCAATTTGGGGAGGGGGTTTGGGGGGTCCTGAGCCCCCTCTGAGAGACCCCCCCAATTTGGGGAGGGGGTTTGGGGGGTCCTGAGCCCCCTCTGAGAGACCCCCCCAATTTGGGGAGGGGGCTTGGGGGGTCCTGAGCCCCCTCTGAGAGACCCCCCCAATTAGGGGAGGGGGCTTGGGGGGTCCTGAACCCCTCAGGGTGAGGATTTGGGGGTCCTGAGCTCCTTGGGGAGGGGGTTTGGGGGGTCCTGAGCCCCTCTCTGAGGGACCGCCCAATTTGGGGAGGGGGTTTGGGGGGGTCCTGGACCCCTCGGGGAGGGAGTTTGGGGGGCCTGAGCCCCTTTCTGAGGGATCCCCAAATTTGGGGAGGGGGATTGGGGGGTCCTGAGTCCCCTCTGAGAGACCCCCCAATTTGGGGAGGGGGCTTGGGGGGTCCTGAACCCCTCAGGGTGAGGATTTGGGGGTCCTGAGCTCCTTGGGGAGGGGGTTTGGGGGGTCCTGAGCCCCTCTCTGAGGGACCGCCCAATTTGGGGAGGGGGTTTGGGGGGTCCTGAGCCCCTCTCTGAGGGACCGCCCAATTTGGGGAGGGGGTTTGGGGGGGTCCTGGACCCCTCAGGGAGGGAGTTTGGGGGTCCTGAGCCCCTTTCTGAGGGATCCCCAAATTTGGGGAGGGGGTTTGGGGGGTCCTGAGTCCCCTCTGAGAGACCCCCCAATTTGGGGAGGGGGCTTGGGGGGTCCTGGACTCCTCTCTGAGGGACCCCCCAATTTGGGGAGGGGGTTTGGGGGGTCCTGAACCCCTCAGGGTGAGGATTTGGGGGGTCCTGAGCTCCTTGGGGAGGGGGTTTGGGGGGTCCTGAGTCCCCTCTGAGAGACCCCCCCCAATTTGGGGAGGGGGTTTGGGGGTCCTGAGCCCCCTCTGAGAGCCCCCCCCCAATTTGGGGAGGGGGGTTGGGGGGGGCCCTGAGTCCCCTCTGAGAGCCCCCCCCCAATTTGGGGAGGGGGGTTGGGGGGGGCCCTGAGTCCCCTCTGAGAGCCCCCCCCCAATTTGGGGAGGGGGGTTGGGGGGGGCCCTGAGTCCCCTCTGAGAGCCCCCCCCCAATTTGGGGAGGGGGGTTGGGGGGGGCCCTGAGTCCCCTCTGAGAGCCCCCCCCCAATTTGGGGAGGGGGGTTGGGGGGGGCCCTGAGTCCCCTCTGAGAGCCCCCCCCCAATTTGGGGAGGGGGGTTGGGGGGGGCCCTGAGTCCCCTCTGAGAGCCCCCCCCCAATTTGGGGAGGGGGGTTGGGGGGGGCCCTGAGTCCCCTCTGAGAGCCCCCCCCCAATTTGGGGAGGGGGCTTGGGGGTCCTGACCCCCCCCCGCCAGGTTTTTTGGGGAGGGGGTTTTGGGCTGAATAAAATCTTTTCCTATAAAAACGCGACCGAGTTTGGGGTTGAAATTGGGGAAGGGGATTCACCAAGCTGAGACCCCCACCCCCCCAAAAAAAAAAACGGGTTGAACCCCAAAATCTGGAGACCCCTCCCCAAAATCTGGAGACCCCTCCCCAAAACCTGGAGACCCCTCCCCAAAACCTCCCCCCCCCCAACAAATCCTTTTCTCATAAATCGATTTTATTTAAACAAAAGTACAAAAACCGGCACCGACCGTGTGCGACCACCCCCCAAAATTTCCTGTACAACCTCCCCCCCCCTCCCCAAAATTCATGTACAGACCCCTCCCCAAAATGTACAGACCCCTCCCCAAAATAAAATATGTACAGACCCCTCCCCACCCAACCCCCAGAAAATCAATGTACAACCGGCCCTATGTACACCCTATCTACAATGTACAGCCCATATACAGCATGTACAGCTTTTGGGGGGGGGGGTTTCCCCCCCCAGGAATTTGGGTGGGGGGTCCCCAAAAAATTCCCCGATTCTATACAGCCCCCTCCCCAAATTAAAACCCCCCCCCCCCCTCA